ACGAACGATTAAGTGGCACCGGTATCACTTTCGTAATTGATAATGTCCGAAATTTAATATTACCCATTCTTCCACAGATTGTAAATTTAAAACGTAGGCCAATGGCCTCGTTACATCAGTTCATTAAAAAAATGTCATTAGCTGGCAACTTTTCGACGTTAGGAGGCCTCACCGAGACGATACGGTTTCCCATGAGACAGAGAATTGTAAACTTCCAAAATATAAAATGCTAAAATACTTCAGAAGGTTATGGCTCGCCCTGAAATCAGCAGTTCTTGTAAGAGCCCATAATAGCGAAATAAAGTCGTCCTCGATGCTTCTGTACGCATCTTGGCAATATATCCGGGTAGTTCTTTAAATCGAACTGATTTCACGTATATCCAGCGATATCCCGCGATTATAGTTCCTCGCCGAGTCCGGTAGGAATCGGGAGTTACGGATGGAACTCGATACCGGCGCCATATCTCCTCGGGAAGATCCTCAGAGGGGCGTTCGAGATGTATCCGTAGAAGCATTCGATGGAATTTTCGAACTCGTAAATTCCTCTCTGGAAGGTCTACTTTCATTATCTCGGGGGGATCTATGTGTTCCGCGAGGGGCAGGGAGGGTCCCCTTTATACGAGCGCGTTATGGTGTTCATGGGTTATGGGAGGGTGGCTGGAGAGCGGCAGGGGTTGTGTGCAGGGGCAGGGCTGAAATCTGGGTCGCCCTGCACCGCGTGCAGGCCTGGAACTCGGTCAAGTTTTCTGCACCTGCAGGTCGCACGAACCTGCATCATTTTCTGCGGACTGGGGACCTCTTCTTCCTTTTTCCCCTCCTTATCCGTCTCGTCATCCATGCGGCAGGGTTATCTCGCGACTGGTGTCAAAGATCGTGTCAAAGGTCGCAGGATTCGACGGGTTCGATTTCTCCGAGGCCCGGCCGTTAATTATAAACCACTTTTGATACGGTTCGGCAGCGATGGCGCCTTTAATTTGGATATTTCGGGTCGAGCACTGATTCCGCTTCCACTCGCGCAGCTCGTCGCTGCTAATTGAAAAACTGCCTGAATAGGCGACCACTTGGGGCCGTAAAAATGGAGAACTGAGGGGGTAACGTCACAATTAAAGCCTGCTACAAACAGTACTTCCCTTAATCGCGTTCTGCGTAATTGCACGGAAAACGGATTCGCACCTTGGAACGTAAGGGGATGCCGAAGTCGATTGAAATCGACAATCGATCCGAGCGCCGTTTCGGGTAACGAAATGAAAACAGGCAGCGACGTTACCGGCCGTCACGACATCCCGTCAAAATAATTAGGAGATTATCTCCCCACGCTTGACAAATAACGCGAAATATTGCGATCATTCCTCGCGTTTGTCTACTCTATAGCTAAACTCGAAGTTTCGCCAAATACTGACGACCACTCGTCAAATACAGTTCCGTTATTTATTTTTTTTACATTTATTATAGTAGTATAGTATTATATTTTACTTACATTTATTATAATAGAAAGCTATCGTATCGTCATCTGCATCGAAGCCTTCCAACTGAATATAGTCCTTTACCTATAACCCTTTCATATCACCTTAACCCCACCTTCCCGAGTTATCTGAAATAACTTAATAATACATTTGTTACAAACAGAACGCGGTGCATGAAATTACAGTCGGCTCGAATAGAGACCCCGTTCGGACATACGACGAACGTCAAACCTCGTCGTAATTCTACCGCGTGTTATTATCGACCTCATCCCCTTAACGGCATCCGTCGAGCGTTACCCGGGATTGGGAGTCGCATATCCCCCCTTCCCCGCTGACGTAACGCTTTTCGAAACTTCGAAAAAGCCAGTGTCTTCCGAGTCCCGCCAGGGGGTGTCCCGATGGAGGGGGCTCCCTAAATAGTTGGCAACATCGATTTATTTTCGCGTACGGCCGCGTGTTCCGGCGTCCGCCCCCGAGGGTGGAAGTTCACCCCTCGGGGTGAGGGGCTCTAGGGGAGGAATTTCGTAGAAAGAGAGGAAAGTTTCGTACTAAAATCTGCCTGGTCGGTGGCGAATTCCCCCTCTCCTCCCGTGACAGCTGCTCCCGACGTGGGCCAACGTGGCGCCATTAATCGCGGATTATCCTGAGGAGTATCGCGGTATCCTATCGCGTGGCTGCGGCAATGTCAACGTCGACCGCAAACCCCCGTGTCTGCTCGTCACGTAACGCACCGTAACGCAATTAGAGCCATTTAGGTTAGGTTAGGTTACATCCGGTCGCGCTCGATCGTTTTACGATCGACGACACCTGGCCGATACGAGTCGAATGACTCAAAAATGGCGACTGCGCCTTGATTTCAGAAAAATGGCGCCCAAGGTACTTTCGCTCGGATGGAGGCGAATAAAGGAAACCATGTAACCTTCCGCGGGTGGACCGACGATGTTTCGTGCGATCTCCTCGACCGGGTGGTACAATTCGGTCGAAGGGATCTCGGAAGCACTCGCGTGTGGACGGAGGGTGGGTAGAAATGATATACCACGGCACGACTTGGCGTGCATCCGGTTTGACGTTACATTTATTATTCTTTAGGATTTATGTGGACAGATGTAATTAATTGTATATACATTACATGGGATCGCATTAGGACTGGAAAGTAACGATACTTACTGGGTGGGTCCGAGATTCGTGGCTAAGTGCTCGGAACAAAGTCGAGTACACATCTAGGTCCCGATTCTTGAGTTCATGGGTATTCTTTTCGCATACGAACAGATTCCCGTGAAAAATTTTGCATTGTTGCGAAGTCGGTCAACATTTGAAAGTCTTAATACGAAACTATTAATTTAGCATGCGAAAGTTGATCGTGTGGACTCGAGATTCGGGTCCTTGAAATGAGCACGCGTACGAGGCAAGATGAGGCGGAACAAGTGTCTCGTCCTTGGACGTGTACATGACGACAAACAAAATCGTTCGATGCAATGAATGATCTTAACGAATGGCATTGGGTAGGGCGTCGAACGATGCGAGGCTGTTTGCCGCATCTTCGATTGATCGTTCCACCCTTGTGTGTTCGTTTTGCCTCGTACGCGCTGGTGCTCGGATGCGTAACCTAACCCTCGCAGGGCCGTTCCCGAAGCGGCAATGGCCGCGGCGGTCGCGTCGTAGGGGCGCTTGAGTCGAAGATTCGAGCACGTTCGAACGGGCGGCCGTCGTTTGCCTCGGAGTCTCGGACAGGCCGCTCGATTCTGCTCGGTCGCGGGCATTCCCGGCCGAGCGGAGAGAGAGTACGGCGTCGGTACAACGGTAGTACGGGCGCCGGGGTTAATACGGTACGGCGCGTATCGGTATTGGTATTACGGTAGTACAGCACCCGGGGGAGGAGGGCGCGTGCGGCGGCCGGGGGGCAGCCCGCGGGGGGTCACGGAGTGCGCTGACCTACTGTTCCACATTCGCGCCGTTCCAGCCTTTCCGAAGTTCGAACCCAGAAACCCAGAGCCACTCTGCCCCACACCGGGAGGGGCGCCATCGGCCGCCGAGGAGAGTCGGCGCTCCTTCCGCGGCCGGTGCAGCGGGCCCGTGGCAACGCCCGGCTCCCCCGGAGGAGGATTAACCTCAAAGAGGTTAATTTCGCCGGACGCCTCCGCGAGCCGCGGCCCCGAATCCCCGGGTGACGCCGAGCCGCCCCGCCGGAAGAGGCGCGGGGTCCGCCGCGAGCCGAGCCGCCCCTATGTTTCGAACCTCGCCCGCCCGCGGCCCCCACTCGACTGACCGCGCATGCCCCGCCTCCCCCCGCAATGCCGAGCGGCGCACACCCCCGAAAGCACCAATCGCGAGCCGGCCGCGCACGCGCCCTAGAGCCTCGCGCCGCTCGCGCCATCTCTTGGCTCCGCGCCGCAACTAACCCCCACCGCGGAAAGCGCGCGAAGACCGAGTGCGGGAATCGCCCCGTTGAGCTCGCGGAATGGAACTTACCCAATCGTTTCAAAAGTTCTGGCATTTTCACGAGATCTGGATAAATCCAAATAATTAGTGGATCTTTTGGAATTATCCGATACGATTTAAAAGCTTCGCGGTCAATCTGTATGCGGTGAATGCCTCCTCAAGGAGGAACGTAATGGCGAACGGCTTCGCGATTGACATTGGACCGATGCGAGGTTTCGCGAAAGGAAACGCGAGTTCCTTGAGAACTGGGCACGAGGACCCGGCGAGGGGATTTTAAACTCGCTTGGTTTGGTAAATATTACCACTGAGTACGAAGCCACGAACATCGGACCTCTAAAAGTCCCGATTGTAAACACTCGGATAGTTTTTGCTAATGTAAACGCCTCGTCGAAAGTCGAGGCTAAACTCGACTCGTCGATGTTATCGAAATATAATCTCCCTCGGAAAAGCCCATTCAGATCGCCGTTAACAACTATTCCCTACAGTTTTAAACGCTCCACCTTATCAACCCGTTTACCACTTCCAGGGCTACATTCCCTTAATCTATTTCATACATTCCTCATCTTTAACCTCACCTCTTAGAAAACCCTCGAACCCCACTCCACACATAATCCTTCTCAAACAACCCCCATGCTTAACTCACCATGCCTGCAATTTTCTACATACTTCATAACTTCACAAACTCTACTTCACCTCATGTATCACCTAGTACCGATTACATCCGGCCCCATTATTCCTTCTCCTATGCTATCCTTTTATATACAGAAAAATAAAACGAGTCGGTCTCGGCTTCCACTCAGATATGCGTATAGCGGAGAAATGAATTCCGAGTAAAAATTCCCGAATTTCGTAATTCCGAAATCAGAGAATTCGAATTTCTTCTCCAGGCGACGGAACGGGGCCACGTGGGTCGCGGCCGGCCCTGAGCGGCGCGCTGGCGAGAGAGAGGGCCTCGGCGGTCACGTGGGCGCGAGAGAGACGGCGCTCGGCGGCGCAGGGTGGGGGGCGGAGAGGAGCGCAGTCTCGCGACCGACCCGCTGTGCGGCCACGAGCAGCCACGAGCCTCGACGCTCGCGCGTAGGTAGAGTGAGAGTGACTTCTGGCGAGCGGCGACGAGAAACGGTTGTCCCGGTGGGCCCGGAGAGGCGAAAACGCTCGCTCGGGGGTGATGCGCCGGTGGTACAGTGGTGGTTGACCGAGGGAGAGAGCAGGAGTGGGCGCGAGCCAGTGGAGTGCGGAGCAGCGGGCGGGGGTGGCCGAGGTGTTGACACGGTGTTTGAGTGGTGACGCTGCAAGGGAGCAGGGTGTTGCCACGGGGATCGCAGGCGGAGCGGAGGCAGAGAACGCATGTAGGAACATGGCCGCATCCAGCCCCTGCCTCCCTCTAGAGGTGAGCCACCGCCGAGAGGCGGCGGGTCCGAGAGGGGGTCGCGAGGGTTTCGGCTCTCCGGGTCTCCGAGCTCGCGGGGACCTGACCGCGGGGCCTTCTCGCTGCGAGCTCCCCCGAGAGAATGCGCGACCCGCGGGAGCGACGGAGACGCCGCGACCTCCGCGGCCCGAGAGCGAGAGAGACCGACCGACCGCGGAAAGCGTGCGCGTCGATTTCTAGTCCCCTGGATCGTTCGTCTCCACCGAAAATCTCAATAACGATGGGAAAAATCGAATTTGGTCTTCGCCTTGCAGATTTTCCGGGATTTAATTACACGGGCAGGGTTTAGAGAGAAATGCATCCCGGTCTTCCAAATTGTGCGGTCCTGTATTTCCAGGACCTGGGTCTAGATCGAGTTGTGACTATATTCGTTAGGGCGTTCTGATCGTATTCGCAAGGTCAGGATTAAGGACGATTTTGCTCCTCCCTGATCCCCGAGGACTCTCTCCTGGAACGAACTCCTGGGGTTGCGAGACCCGGTGCACCCATTCGGTAATGTGCGACCGACATTGCTCGTTGGGGAGGTTAGGCCGAACCTCTCAGGCGACGTGTCGGCGAATTTCGAGGTTGGACGTGGCTCGTCCGGGTGGGAGGGTAGAAACTGCAGGGCCGACGCTGCCTCCAGGGGTTCGATATCGCTCGGTCGAAAGGCTAGGACTAACCTCGCGCTTTACCTCGGTGACACTTGGGTGCGTTATGGGGGTGGAAGTATGGCGCTGGGTTTCCGGGCCATGGGGTGGATGCCCTCGACAGTGACCGGGCTTCGCATTTTTTATTCGACAGATTGGACTCTCCGATCTCTCGCGGGAAGCCTGAAGTAATATTAAACGTAATTCGCACTTTCTTCGTTTTTTTAAGCGAGACTTCGTAGGTCACCTATAGGTGAAGTCAACTCTCAAAGTATATACAAAAGAGAGACACTTATTTACATCTCTATTCTCACGGTTAATCAATGTTTATATTCCCGCACCCGTGTTGGCGTTGGCACGATTGTCTTAAACGTTGTATTTAATTTCCATAAGAAACTGGTCATCGACAAATGCTTCTGGCTCGTTATCATTGGTATCTCATCCCAGTTTTTTTTTTTGTTTTTTTAGTTATTTAGCGTCTATATTCATCTTGATGTTGTGCTCAAAACGTTTAGTACTGAACGTATAAGGAAATTTTGTGAAAGAATGGTTAAAGATCATTAATAACTATTCTCTTTATCTTGTAACTTATTTTGGCACGGCGTATATGCACCCATTTGTTTTTATTTCTCTTTTCTTTTTACTTTTTCTGAGATTTACGGTCGCCGTTTGATCGGGTCGGAGCGCGGAATTGTCGTGGAAAAATCGTTGACTTTCCGTCGGACCTCGCAGCCTCTTTGGACGGACTTGATCTAGTTTCCTCGAGCCACGATTCCGATCTGGAATTTTCAACGGATATGTCTGCTGGTTGGCTTGAAATGTTCCAAGCGAATAGCTCTGTTTTCGTGACTCGGATGCTCTGACAACTCGAATGGGATTAGTCGATACCGTGGCTGACTTCGATCGGCGATTTCTACTCCTAGTCCGCGATTTGCTCTTCGAAACTGGAGTGGGAAAATTCCATGAATTTCGCGACTCGACGGAAAAATTTCAAGCTTTTCATAATTCGAGTAAAAAAATTCCAAGCTTTTCATAATCCGAGTAAAAAAATGTCAAGCGTTTCATAATTCGCGTGGAAAATTCCAAGGTTTTCATAATTCGGGTAAAAAAAATCTGAGACCAAGAGTCCTTAAGGATACATTTTGTTATTGAATCGTCTGCTGGAATTAAAAAAGGGACATCTTAATTATTGACTTGTACAATCATTGATTTACATTTCCACCTAACATTTGTAAATCATCCTTTAAATAAATGTGGTAATAGGACACTGTTCAGTTCTGGAATTCCTATTATAAGGAAAACCGAGTCCTCTATCGGTACATACGTTTCTTGTTAGTTTTGTGTTATTAGTTTTTATCGTTATTGCTTGACTTTATCGAGTAGAATATTTCTATCGACCAGCAAGTCACATTAAAGTCGAATGCATCGGCCTCAAGAGCCCCAAAATTGACTGAAAAATAAATGGAAATTATAACAGAAAAATTGCACGCGATAATAGGAGGGAATAGAAAAGACCTGCTTGTCTAGAATTTTTTAAGACTTCCACCATACGTAGAAACAGGTAATTTGCAGTTCTCGAGAACATTAGCTTTTGTGGTGAAACTCAGTAGGGCGAATAATTGAAAGCGGCTCGGCGCGTGTCGCCGATTAATAATCGGCAAGTCAATTATAAACCGAGGATCGGACCACTAGCTTTATCCCAGGCACTAATTTCGGTAAATAGTGGCGCGAACTAGGAGGCGTATTCTATTATTCGTATTCCTGTAACGAGCAAGAAAAGGGTCCTTCGTTTTTTTCCCAAAAAATTTACTGCCTTCGTTAAAATCGGCTTGCCCTGATGGCCGGGGAAAAATACACGCACTGGCGGATGCAACTTTATGGATCGATGGATGGGCTCCCTTCCATAGGAGACTAATTCCACTTCGTGTTCCCTGGCTCATCCAATTTTTATGGAGAGACGAGGAGTCCTCGAAGGATCGCGTATTTTTCGAATCGCCATTACAATATTCTATAATTTATTTTGTGTGTCTTTGAATTCATTAATATAAAATACAAAAGTATTTACACGAGGATGCAATTTTATGGATCGATAGATGGGCTCCCTTCCATAGGAGACTAATTCCACTTCGTGTTCCCTGGCTCATCCAATTTTTATAGAGAGACAAGGAGTCCTCGAAGGATCGCGTATTTTTCGAATCGCCATAATAATATTCTATAATTTATTTTGTGTGTCTTTGAATTCATTAATTTAAAATTCAAAAGTACTTACCCGAGGATGCAATTTTATGGATCGATGGATGGGCTCCCTTCCATAGGAGACTAATTCCACTTCGTGTTCCCTGGCTCATTCAATTTTTATGGAGAGCCGAGGCATCCTCGAATGGTCGCGTATTTTTCGAATCGCCATAATGATATTCGATAATTTGTTTCGTGTAGCTTTGAATAAATTAATGTAAAATATAAAAATACATGAGGATGTGCCTTTATGGCTCGATAAACAGACTCGCATCCATGGGAGATTAATTCTATCCCGTGTTTCTTCTTTCGTTCATTTTTTATGGAGAGTCGGCGGAAGCTCCTCGAGGTGTCCTGGAAGGATCGCGTGTCCTCTGAATCGTCGCCGTAATTAAAACCGATGATTCGATCCCCGTATCTTTGAGTCAGTTAGTTACCTCGGTTATGCACGAATTAAATCTACATTTAATTAGACTGAAGCATTGCAATCCGCGACCCGATACCCTTTGAGACTCGGGTCCGCGTTGACGGTAAGCTTGGCCTTGGGCTGCAATTAATACGCGAAATGTGGCCGATAAATTAACGTCCGTGGGTGTGATTAATAGAATACGTGGCTTTGTGATCGCCCACGGTCGCAATTTATACGGTCACAAAGTTACCGAAAGTTTCAGCGCGTTCTGTAACGACGTGCAAGCTTCGAGGAAAATGTCCCCACCAAAGGCGAGCTTATTGATCGGATTCCCCTGGAATTGTTTGAAGAATATCCACCATTAGAGGTGAAATTTTTAACTAATAAAGGATCATTTTCTAACCGCTGAAAGAATACAATTAATTACGATGATCTGCATTTTTTTTTTCTAACCGGACAATGTCCCAGTTATGTTTTCTTAGTCTTTAACTGGAGACCTCACCCTTTTATTTACTTATTTTCTTTTTTTCGTACATTTTACACATTTTTGCGGTCAGTTCCACAATATATGCCCTCAGCCAGAAGGAGGTCGGAATTCCCACCGAAGAATTCCGACCTTACGGTGCAATCCGACAATTGAGCAAATAAGCTTTATTAACACGTTCAATGCCGTAGGGGTCTCCAGTGACCGACAACCGTATTATAACAACTTGCTTGACAATTGATTTGGCACCAATGTGCTAATAGGATCAATCTATCAAATTCTCAAGGCTGCCCTGTAACAGTTTGCGTTTACTCCGTTCCGGCCCAACGACTGTTTTTCTCGATTTCCGATAGATCCGCTTATGATAAAAAGTGTCACTTTTATCAGGCTTACGTTCGTCAGTCTTTGCATTAAAAAATGTCCTTTCACCTCAGAAATGAAATTAAACCTCGCACTTTAAAACTTAATGTACGCGTGAATCTTCCACATTAAACCAAATTATTGAATGCACTAATTTCCAAATGACCTGACATCGTATCAATTTTGCGTTTATCAGCTAAACTCGCGAAATCGTTAACGCAAGGCCCACGAGACCAGTTCCGTGATAACCGACCCCTCTCATCATTGAAAAATAATTCTTCGACAGATGTGGATGCAATCTGCACCTACTTCCCACCACCCGCCTTTCCAAGGATGCACTCCGCTAATTGGCCCCCCAGAAATTCGATTTCTGGCTCGACTCGGAGACGGTAAAAAATCACGGCGCGGGGAATCCTCGAATTCTCTAATGGGGCACCTTCGCGAGGTATCGACCGGACCGGAAATAGAGCCGAATCGTTGTCGAGCATTCCCGGGGCCGAGGTGCAATCGGCGGATGCGTCGAGGCGGATCGCGTACGCGCGGTTCTGGTATCGATCGCGACGATTCCTCTGGAACGATCGTACGTCGCCACGTGTCCGACGTCCTTTTCAATTTACGAGATCGACCAGTCGCCTCCTCCCTCCCGGCGCCGCCGGTATGCCTTTTTTATAACGCTCTATCGTCCTATCTATTTGCCCGCCGAGCCACCCCCGTCGCGCTTTGCCCCATCCCTGGCGCTTCCTCCTCCGCTCTTTTTTCCCTCGCCTCGTTCTCTACTTTTTTTCTTTTTTTTTTGTCCCCGGCGTGGCTCACGCAATCGCGCGGTTACGTAATGACCAATCGA